TTTCAAAAGTAAACGTAGTTTGTGAGTAGTTTTACTATATAGCTTTAGATGAAAACTTTAAAAAGTAAAATGTAGTACGTGAGGAGTATAATTTTTATACACGTTGGAAGTAAGTACTACGCTCAACTCTAATACAACACGTAGTACAAGTTTGTAGTACAATTCAGAATTATGTATTACACCCAACTCTAGTTACAGTAAACATACATAGCACTCACACAATTTATAAATTTTTTCTCTAAGTTATACTCACACAAAACACTAACTACATTATAATCTCAAGCCTCAAATAAATCTCACAAAAGCGTGCAACTTGTTAATGATCTAGAATATTTACCTCACATACAAGAATGTAACGTCAGTTTGATAACCACTAGATCAAGGAATTATTGCAAACTTTAAGCTATATTATTGCAAGCTATGTTCAAGTTTATGATTACAGAGATATAAGCCAAACGCAATACTCTAAAGACAATCAATATGTTGAAGACTGTGCAATGCACACGTACATCATGGCAAACAATGGCCACATTAGAATGCATTGCTAATTGCTGGCTAGAGTCTCCGTTCATCAAGAGTCAAGAAGAGCACATTGCATAAGAAATCAAACTTTACATTACAAAAGCAACAGAAAAGTCAGAACTACAAACACAAATTGTGATGTTTTCCATTTTGATGAATTTTTATATTCAGATGATGAAGCAGTCAAGGAATTTATTTTCTATAGTAGTTTAACATTACAACGTGTATGACAAGGTTGATGATTAGATTTTGAAGCAATCAAGTACAAGGACATTTTTGCTACATTGGTTGAACATTACAACGTGGCTGATAAGGTCAATGATGAGATTTTGAAGAGGAAGAGTAGGATGTGAAAGTTAAGGTGTATGAAAAAGTTCAAACTTTAGAAGTTAAAAAAGGGAATCATTCACAATATGCATGCATTAGATAAGATCAAGGTTGAGATGGATTGTTACAAGATTTCTACAGCTATTCATATTACCTTCAATAGCTTTTTTACTTCAAAATATGTCATCTTTAATATAAGGATACTTGGAGATATAGTTATAATAACATAGTTCCGATTGTATCCTTATATCAAGTTTTGATTGTACATAAAAGTTATTTTGAAATAATAACTAAACTATGCAATTAAATATTTAAGATCATTGTATGTCCAATTAGCAACATCAAACTGCTTTTGATTTTATTATTCACCATTTCAAATGGAGTATTGGTTATATACATGATAGTGATGTGTAATTTCTATTTCCATTTCTTCATATTTAAAAAAATTATATTATGAATTTTTAATACTAAATATATAATTTTAAATTAAATTAATTTTACATCAAAAAATTTTAAATCTTTGTCATCTTCAGGAGTGTAAAAATTTTAATTTTCATGATCGAGTCTATACTAAATAAAACATTTCAATGATTTTTTCTGGAGTTAATTTCATGAATTAGTTTATAGGCTTTGGAGAAAAATTAAGATTATATGATTTTTAGATTTTCAAGATATCTGTATATATTAAAACAAGTCTTAAAACCAAAATAAATAAATAAATGATTTCATGGAATCGCAAAGATTTAAATGTCTCGTTTGGTTTATATGAAAAAGATTAAATTATTGACTTCACTATTCTAGTTTTTATATGATGACATGTGTATTCTTGTTAGAGATAAATTTAATATTGATAACTTTAAAAGTGCTATGAGTGTAGCCAAAAATATCTTGGTGCGGAAATAAATCTTTTTGAGATGAAGATCAGAAGAAATTTGCAGCATTAACAGTTATGATTAATGCATGGCAAGTATGCTAAGATGATCTTTGCAATATAGTTCAAAATTACTTCAAGGTTGTGGGTATTATTTTAGCTTTTGCAATTCATTTCAAGATTTTGACGAGTAGATAGATGTCAAATCTAGAGAAAATATCTTGTGATGTTTTGAATTAATATTGCAAATATTTTAGAGATAAGTTGAATTTTTTTATGTTGTATGAAAAATTTTTACAATTTCAAATCACTCATTGATATAATATATGCTAGCTAGGGGATAAATGTGGATGAATTACACTTAGGAAAATATGTGTTTGAACTTGAAATAGATGCATTATTTAACCATCTATATTATCTATCTATATTGCGTAGCTAAGTACACATTACATAAACTAAGTATGTAGTGAAGTTACAATCAACACAAGAAACAATTTGAATAAAAAGGCGTATCTACAAATGATATTAATTTAAGACATTCGTAATCTTAGAATACTAGACATTTCAAATCAGGTAGTGGACATAACATTAGAGCACATTGAGTTTAAGTTTAAATGATTATAACATGGAGTTCTTCAATAAAATAATTACGTTGTTAAGATTGATGTTAAATCTTGTTGATGTTGTTTTCAAAACTATTACTAAGGAAATTTCGCAAAGCATCTTGCCACATTGCAAGTTTTGCATATAAGTAAAAGTTAAAATAAATAGCAATTACACTATTTCTAAATCTGATTTTTCTTTATCTCTTTTGGCTACAGCTTAATTATAGTTATGTCAGAGTATGTTTTGAATTATGAGGCAAAGTTATTAAGTAAGTATTATGGATTACAGTCTCCAAACATAAATCACGTTACATACTGTAGAAAATTAACTCACTTGAATAACTCTATATATTATAATTATGATTTTGTATACTAGTTAATTACTGTTATGTAAAAGAGCTGGCATAGTCTCTATCTGACAGAATATATATTTTACATTTGAAAATTCTATGTAAACATGAACGTAGGCCTATTGGCACAAACTACATACATTTTGTAATGATGTGTTACGAATGTCTATCATTGTGAATATTTATCCTTATCTACATTTTTCCACTAACAACTAATAATCTTGATAACTTTGAATTATTGTCATAAACCCAATAGTATACATGAGATATGTGACTGTGAAGATGAAATGAAAATAGTTGTAAAGTAAAATTTTCGAAGATATTTAATAACTAAGTGGTGTTATTTGAAATCAAGAAAAACATTTGAAGAACATCAGATACTTTGTGAAACTGATAAAAGTCATTCAAATTGTTTTTGATCTAAAGATGAAATTGTCGTAGAAAGATTCAATAAATAAAGTATACAATGCATAAGGTTGATAATTACTTCATATGCAGGTAATGTATATATACATGTAGGAATTTATATTCATCAACGATGAGACTTCATCATGCATTCAAGGAGAAAGAATATTATACTCCGAGAAGTGGGATCAAGTCATACTTAAACAAGAAGAATCATTGCAGATAATATGCACATGCAAATTTATAGATCTTTCAGCAACAAGATAACTCATCTGGTCTATATAGATCTTCAAGATGAAGAGAGTTGTAATGAGGTTTTTAAGTACATGGCAAAATTAGTCAACAAGGTATATCCAATAACAGCCATGTGTTGATTACCATGAACATTTTCCTACATTAGCGAGATGTTTATCCATGTGAATCTTGTTAGTTCTAGCAGTAAAAAGCGATTGGGAGTTAGAGCAACTAGATGTGAAGACAGTCTTCTAGAATAAAGAGAAAACATAGCTACATAAACTTCTATTTCTACATAAATCTACTGAATGGATACGTTTTATGAAATGGGAAAGCTTTCTTGCTTCATAAAGCTTCGTGCGGGCTAAAGCAAGCATCTTGGGTATTGTAAGAAGCTTCATGTTTCTTTGAAGTTGCAAGGATTTGTAATAGCACACTCAAAGTTAAATGCAAACATCAGGGATGTAATATTCACCTGTCAATCTTTGTGAATGATAATTAGTTGATGGGAAAGGCGCTAAATTCTATAACCTTGGAAAGTATTTTAGCCCATACATTCGTTTTCCTTCCTCTTTTTGGTTGCGTTTATTTATCGAAAAGTCCCTTTAACTGTTAAAGGGACTTCCCAAAATGCATAAGAAGTGTGTAAGTGAAGGGATTGACATAATCTATGCATAAGAAGTGTGTAAGAGAAATGTGTCAATTGCAAGTGTTGTTAAGCAATCTTATAGTCAAATCATATCAAAAACTCAGTATGATGTAAATTGAATTGGGAATTTTTGATAGTCAAATAGCTATTGGCAATCACAATTGTGGCCAAAGAAACACCTACCATCTTGGTTTAAGGTTTCTCATTTTCATGTCCATGTCCAAAGTTGTGCCTCATGCGACGGTTGCAATGTTAAATTCAATCAACACAGTATCCACATAACGGAGTAGAACTTGCCTGTGATAATTCTTTAAATGACCGACAACACCTATGAGTTGTTGAATTAACCGCATACTCTAGTGGGGATAGCAAATCTAGTTTCAAGATCAATTGATGGAATCTAGTTCAAAGTGTGGAGTGTTGAAATGAGAATTCCAAACTGAACCGTATTGGTCAATATTATCTAGGAGCCGCTAATTTATGCTAATTATACTTCACCTCACAAAAACTTTATAAATGGCTTAAGAATGAGGTGCGTAATTGATCAAGAGGGATTTCATTTCAAAATGAAAACCCTCGTTCCGCCGCCAAAGGTCTCCTCGCAACAATGGATGCTCCGCTGCGATGAATCAAGTCAAATCAATACAGTTGTGATTATAGATAAAACTATAAAAAGATTTCATGTTCACCTGAATAGGATAAGGGTGAATAAGATAAGCGCTAATTAGAATAAACTGAGTTATAACCAGCCGCTGCCTATTATCTATGTTAGTATAGGATTTAACCTGAATTACTTCTGAAATGATTCACCAAAACTACAATGGTATAAGAGATATAACTCCCCACCATGCGTAACACATGAACACATACTAACACCGTGATCACATCTATTCACTGGAATTTACAATAACACATGGGTCCCTCTATCCCATTACGTCTATATCCCAAGGGGTTTCAAGTGCAGGTGGTATAAAAGAAAAGGGACTTGAGGCTCCTAACATAACAACGTCAAAACTGAGAGCTCGCAAGCGATTGTTCCAAACATGCACAAAAAAATTGTGCTCAATTTCCTAAGTAGAATTCATTTTACATCGACCATAAAGTACAATGTCTTTGATTCCTGCCAAGAGTAGGAAACCTGACGAGTATCCTGTACAAGCTCGATAAGGTTACGACAGCCTGAATCAAATCAACAAAGAAGGTACAGGGAACTAAACTCCAGCTTCAAGCACCAGCCTTTCCGTCAGTCTGGTGAGACTATCTAAGGCACTTTTCGTAAGCTCTAGAGCTGAGTCTTTCTCAACTAGCTGTCCCTTAAGGCTTTCTACAAAATCATTAGTTTCTAAGCTTATGCTAGTGGGTGAAGAATAGGAAGATAGTTCTTCCGTGCTTTTATCTACGAGCTGCTTGCTAAGGTCAGCCAAACTCTGAAGGGCACAGAGTGTACTTTCAACTTCCAACTTGGCTATTTCCAGGTCCATGGCCTCCGTCGGCCCCATGGTCTGAACCCTGGCTCCGTCTCCTTTCTCTTGGAGAAAAGACCGCAGACTTGTTAGAGTCTTCGCCTCGGTCATCAACTCCTCGGCCAACTGGTGGAGCTCCTTTTCTCGGCTTTCCCATCTGGCGAGCACCTGTTTCAGCTCTTGCTCCTTCTCGAACAGGGCTTCCCGGGTTTCGACGAGCTCGTTGTCTTTCTCCTTCAAACATTCCTGCACAGCTTCGAGTTCGGCTTCGACTTCCTCCCTCAAAATTGCATTCTCCATGGCTTTCTCTTGATAGTGCTGCAACTGTAACTCCCGTTCGAGTAAGCTCCTATTCGCTGAAAAGAGTTCTAAATTGGTCTGCATGAGAACGGACTCGTCATCATGAGTGGAAGTGGCTCCTTGCTTCGCTGAGTCTACTAAAGCCCTCGACAGAGCCGAGATCTGCTCCACAACCGATGTGGCCTCTGAGAGCTGTACTTTGCTATCATCGAGATCTATCCTCATGATAGACAGCTGCTCTTCCTTCTCCTGCAGTAGTGTGGTCAGCTTCCGGAGTTGCTCTTCCTTGCTCTGTAATAGAGACTTCACCTGTGAGACTTCCTTCCGAAGTTCCTGCACCATGGATTGGGCTGCTTCCAGCTCTCTGGTCTTGGCAGTCAGATTATGCTGCACTAGTGAGAACTTTGACTTCACGTGCTGAAGCTCCAATTTGGCCGAGATAAGTTCGGCTTCCTTCAGCTGCAAGGCCAAGGTTGTGTCCGTCAGAGAATCGTCCTTCAGCTGCAAGTCAGCTTTCAAGGAGTTAACCAACTGGACGGAATCTCGCAGCGCCTCCTTTTCTTGCACCAACTGCTCGCTCAAGATTTCGACAGTCCTCTTGGCCTCGTCCATCTCCTTCTGAAGCGTCTCATAGGAAGCCTGCGCACGTTTCAACATGTCCCTTTCCTTCAGTAATTCAGATTTGGCAAACTCGAGATTGGTTTGGAACTCTTCCAATAAAAGACTCTGGGCGTTGAACTCCTCGTCCTGCTTCTCGAGCAGCAAGTCCTGCTCTTCGACCGCAGACCGGTAGGTCTCTGCCGAAGCCAGAGACATTTCAAGCTCGTCCTCGACCTCTGCTAGAAGCTTCTTGATGGTTTTCAGCTCCTCATTTGCAATTCTCTCCGTTTTCAGCTCCTGCTCCAAAGCCTTCAACTCCTGCTGTGCAATCATCCATGACTTGGCACGCTTCTCCAATTCCGCCTCGGTCTGCTCGAGCTTCTCCTGCTTCACCATCTTTTCCCTTTGTAATCTCAGTAAACTCGATTCCTTCTCTTGAACCAGGGCTCTGAGGGACTTAATCTCAAGGTCCTGCTTGACGACGAAATCATCGGCAATACGTAGCTTTGAGCTTTGGGACTTTAAGTCCGTGGCAACTTTCGCAAGCGACTCGTCTTTCTCTGCCATCAGAGCTCGAGATCTACTCAACTCGGATTCCAACTTGGCAAGTGAAACGTATGCTTGCTCTACCTCCTCCTCCCTCTGTTTCACAACCTTGCTGGCTTGTTTGAGCTCGTTCGCATACTTGGCGAGCTCCTCTTTGGTCTTCCGAAGCTCTTCCTTCCTCTGCAGATGGCTGTAGCTCGCCAGCTCCAGCTCCTTCTCTCGACTATACAAGGCAGACGTCGCATTGTGAAGCTCCCGCTGATCCTCCTTGAGGGCTGCTTCCGCTTCCAGTAGCTGCTCCTCTTTGTCTCTCAGAGCCTCGACGGCAGTCCTCAAGTCCACTTCCAATTCTGACACAGCCTGTTCCAAATTCTGCTCAGATGACTCAAATAAGGGATCGGCCAATTTCTCCTCATATCTCGAAGCTTGAGCGAACAAGCTCTCCAACGCCAGGCGAGCCGGATCGCTGGATCCACTGCTGCCGCTCTGCCCGCCACTTCCAGCCAATTTGTCCAAAACAGCACGCACCATCACTGGACCAGACGTTTCCCGAACACTTCTGCCGCATCCTGAAAGCTTCACCTGAAAAATGAGACAGCATGTGATCAGCCAGTGCAAATTTGATCCGTTCTAACTAGATTCTTGTCTGCTCTGATTCGAGCTGAGCTCATACGAAATGAAGCCGTGTTTCGTTGCAACCGATTCATGGCGTGGCAGCGTTCGATTTCTACAAAATCGTTCGCTGACTTTCAAATATCGTCCATTAAAGGTTGTCCGAAGACGAAGGATACGGACGACGGCTCGTGCCAGAAAATCATCTCATTGTGTGTGCTGGTGAATTTCCAGTATGCTTTACCACTTACCCAGCCCTCTCCAAATCACCAACAGAAACCAAATTCTGGCACAACACCCATCTCCACCTCTGTCCTTCATCAACTCAACCGCGATTCTCCTTACTCTCAGCACTAGTATTATACAAAGCGCCTCTTCACTTCCCTTCACCACTGCCAACTTGCATACGCAACCCAATCGGCTCCCCTTCAACCTCTCCTCAGATTCCCACGACATCCGGCAGGCTGAGCTCAACCGCACAGAGTTCTATCGCTAGAATCAGATAAAGTGAGCCATCAACGTGATTTCTTCGACTGGGAGTGAGAACAAATTTCACTAACTTGTGCGGCCGCCACCAGAGGAACCAAGCACTAGACTATTCACATGGCTCAAAAGCCCGAGAGTGAAGAAAACGTCCAAAATCAAGATAAGTCGACCATCTGAAAAGTGAAAATCCCGATAATTTCCTGCACATGACCTCATCTTGATTGTGGGCTCTGAAAGAATGGCATAATTGACTTTTGACGCCAAATCCGTGCCCAGTCTCCCCACCACAAAAATGCAAGACTACCAAAAGTCCCGAGAGACCACATCTAAAACCTCTGCGGAAACTCTACCACTTCGTGACTGACTGGCAGACAGGCAATCCTGAACAGCCCCGACATCGACACATCAAGCAAAGGTCTAGTTTCCTGCCGCCTATGATACGGCCTCATTCACAATGTGCACAATGTGAATGAGGTCGTATCACCCTTCCTCGACATCCAGAGCCTCGTAGACTAGTGGAAATCGAAAATTGCTCGTCTATGGAAATCGATTCAATCGCCTGAAGGGATTGAAGAGGTTCTGGGCTCTGGCGGGCGCGTAGACAAGCATCTTCGATACGATAACCCCCACACATCCAAGCCTGCGAGCTAGACACCAAATTCACGTCGGCAGAAATGACTTACCTTGCGACCGAGCTTTCGATCCGAAAAGGCGGAAGAAGTCCATGACGAAGCGCAGGGCGCGACTCCTCTGCTGAAAACACTGCGACAAGCGCCCGCCAAAACCATCTTGTCCTGTCCTTCGCCACGAGAAAGAATCTACAATTTCTCAATTCTCGGCAGCACGAGCGCCGGCGTCTTCTTATTCACCACCCTTCGATCAATCGACTCCCCCGCTTACGGCGCCTCTGAGAGCTCATCCCATCACCGTCATCACCATCACCGTCCCGGGCAGCCCGAACGGTTCATTCAATCTTCATTTGGTCCCACTCTCCCTCCCGCCCTCTCTCCACAAGGGTGGGGAGGCCTGGGCCACCCAAAAAGAAGGCGACAGCTGCCCCAGCGACTCGACCAATTCTTCGCCCGCACTCCAAAGACACAACGAAAGCAATTTCGACGTCCTGTCCTACCCCACGAGAGAGCGAAAGAGAGAGAAAGGCTACACTTCCTGAGGCCTCGGCAGCGCAAGCGCTCCCCCGCTATCGATCAATCGACTTCCCCGCACCTTCGAGAGCTCAACACTTCAGCGTTAGCAGCAGCACGACCGGCACATTGATTCCTCCATCGATTCAACTCCCTCCCTCCGCACCACAGCGCAACGGGAGTCAGGGCCACCACAAGCGAGGCGACAGCTGCCTGGACAAGTGAATCGTTCGCCAGCACCGCAACGAGACGACAAACGCAATTCCAATCCGCTGCGCTCGTCACGAATTCGAGTGCGCGCGATGGCTTGCTACTGGCCAGCGCCTCGTCTGACGCTGCTCTGTCGCCAGCCGCAATCAAATCCTGCCACGCTCTCGTTCATGTATCCGTCCCCCAACGACGAGCATGTAGATTTGTCGTCATTGTCTACGTACTTCAATTGATTTTTATTTTCTGCCATTTTCGGTAATTCAATCACAAAATATCAATCAATCCAGAGTTCTTAATAAAGATATCATTTCTGATGATATCTTTATTTTGAATTTGGTGAATTATATCTGACTTGAAAAAATTTATTTACATTCAAGTAGGTTAAAATTTATTATAAAAAACAAAACTGATAATTTTTATGGCATCTTTTAATTGTGTAGAGAGAATGTCATAATTTCTGTCCAAAACTTGATATTTTGTCCATTATTCAATATTTAGATTCTTTATTGTTTTATTTGCATGCAGTTGTAAAACTGAGACACCTTTGTACAAGACATTTACTTGTCATAATTCAAATATTTATCCATTGATTTGTCCTTAGAGATCTTACGTTTGAGGATCATATACAAACAATGATGCTCATAAATCTGATTCATTTTGATCTTTTTTCTTTTCTGTCCAAGTTCTATCCAGTACGCCTGAGACTCATCTGGTCAACGTGTAAAGCTTGGTCGCTTTTGTCATTTATGGTTGTATCACATTGACAGACTATTGACGAATTGGATGACTGTCGATAGAGATTCACGAACTCTGTAACTCAAACCAACACATTTAATGGACATTGCACTCGACTTTCGATCCCATTCCTTTGCTTGCCGATCGCATGCATCTTTGATCAGAACATGATGATAACATTTACTTACTGTGGCCACGAGAGTTCTCCCATACCTGTTTACACGGCTGATGAAGCTACGAACGAGAAATTGGTGCTCAAGACTCGAAGCTGTCAACGTGAACTTGAAAGACTGGAGCTCGTTGGGATGTTTCGCACAGCTGGAATATTTGCGACACATCTGGATACGAAGGACGGTAAATCTTGCTACGCTGCAATAAGGTTTATGTTCTGATGCTGAGCTATGTCGCATCGATGCCCTCTGCTCTTGCCCCTCACCACGATGCACGATTTGCATGTAGATACGATCACTTCGATCGTTTTGATGCAGATGTTGAAGATGGTGTCGAAGTCCTTCATTCACTGCCGATGCGAGTGACAGCTAGCTAGCTACCTTTTCTGCTGGGAAATTCATTCATCCCGACGTTTTCGTAGGATAGAAGATTACGATTCACACGAGGTTGGATATATGCAGTTGGCAAAAGTTGCTCTTTGCTCAGAGAATTGACTTCAATCCTCTCCGCAAGAAAACATGCCGTAGCTATTCAGGAGTTTCAGGAGTTCTCCTGGATGTCAGGTGCTTTAGGTTTTCGCCAAATGGGGACGGTCTCAGCGGATGCCCATTGCCCTCGACCTTGACTTCGACCGCCCAAAAGTACGCCTATGGTACCTACTTTCTAACTGCAAACACACATGCTTCTCGTAGACCTCATCCTTCGATCTCCGACAAAAGAATTCTTATTCAATTCGTGGAAAGCTCACCGTCCCTCATCCACACTCACACAGACAATCAAAGATTAGGGTACTTTTCCTCTGCAAACAAGGATAACATTCCGACGTTAAGTGAGCCCGGGGCCATGGGAAGTTATGATGATGAGTCCAAAACATACTTGAGTAGAGAAGAGCACTTCTGGACACCATAGCTGAATATCAATCTTTTGATCAGACTCAACTTGCGAAACAAAGCCTTGCTACGGCCACACACTTCGCACATTCCATGCTGCGAGAAGAAAGAAGGAAATTGCAAACAATTTAGTTCGACAGGAAGAAGACCTGGCAAGAATGGCGAACTATCGATGAGCGGGCATGCGAAGGCAAGTGTTTCACCACCAGGGCGTCGATGGATGTCACGATGTTCGTTGTTTGAATTTAAATTGTGCCAGCCCGCCCGCCCCTAAGGCGGAATCTCGGACAGGATCCATGAACAGGTTTCTACACCCGACCAAAACAGAAAAGGCTATCGGTGGACGAAAAGCGAGCAACACCGCACTGCGGTCAAGGACACGTCCAAAGTAGCCGAACGAGAAAGATGCGATGAGCGAAAACTCCGATCCGAAAGCAGCCAGCCCCAAATAACACGTGTGACAACAGCCTCACTAGCCGTCGATGGTCCACACAGTTCCTGCCGCGTGCCTCGACACCGAGCTCCAAGTGGGGAATGGCCTAGGAACACGTAGATTGGGATTGCATTAGAACCCGTCACAATGTCACAGTCTCCCGATTCCAGTCTCTCCATCTCTTTCCTCTACGCTTGCTCGAGGTTCCAAAGTCTCGCTCTCTTAATTGAGCATATGCGTAAAGCGAGCTACGAGAAAAAGATACTGATCGTAGCTCCCCCGTCATTCCCCGCAGGTCACGCTACCCATCGCTCTTTGAGCTACTTCTGAGAGCCCGAGTCCACTCAGCCACAGCAGAGGCTACCTGAACTTTAGTACACGACTTTTCGACTGAGTGCCATGATGATGATCCTGTGGCTTCCAGCCATTTGCATTCATCCATCATTTGAAGAAAAGGAGTGGAAGGGCAGGGGTGCCTGCACTTAGTGGGTTGCTAGTAATGGACCCGAGAATTAGAGAGGTTCTGATTGGGCTGTCAATGAGAGAATACACAGGAGATTGATCCAGGCTTCAGAGCTTAAAGTCTTGATCGCGTGACTGATGCGCGCAGGCTTTGATTAGGAGGTTTCATGGCTTGTGTATGGATCGCATAGCTCAGAAAAGTGTGCGTGTCACAGCAGACCTGACGATAATTGATGAGGCGTGGAAAAAGTGGAAAGTGGTCCAGGTACGAGTCGTCAATACAGAAAATACTGTTTCAAACTAACGGACTACAATTTGCCATGTAGATCTAATAGTTAGCAAAGAAAACACATCTCGGTTGACAAGTTGAACACACTTTGGGTACTTTTAGTTGGGAATTGGACTTGGAGTGCCCGGACAAATGAGGGACAGATTTCACCTTTAATTCAGAAACTTTACCCTCACTTACCCTCGTCTTCAACTAGAACCTCATTGCCAATGGTACAAGGCACGACGAACTACATGAGACTATAATTTGCCGATGATCTCCTCTGATCCTGGGTTTAATCATGGACAACAAAGCTGGAATGTGTATAAAGTCAGAGAGAAAGAGAGAAGTGGAAGAAATTTGGTTGCAAAAAGTGGAGTCAATGAGGCAGCCAACGCTAAAGAACTCCAACGTCAATCCACTTCTCAAAATAGATAAATGTGATGGTGGAAATGAGTTCTGGTTGGTCAGAACCTTCGATTAAGCAACTACGGTGTCTAAACCTCTGGTAATTGACCCGTCCCTAAGGTCAGAAATACGTGGGAGAAAATGTACTCACAGATTCGATGAAGGATCTTACCAGCACTAAATCATAAAAATTGGTGGTTTTTTGAATTATATTCAACCGTTTTTTCACTAGAAACTACAGGATGGCACTGATGAACAACATGTAACTATGGTACATTCTGAACTAACACAGCTCGAAGCCCGAATTCTAATCAGAGCGCATAATCTACTTCAAGACACTGACTGTAAACTTTGAGCTGATCTCGATTCTATCCCTTTTTCACCGGCCGTTGTACATAAGATTTGTTCGGATCCTCGGTTTTCAGCTTGGGCGGTCGTAGCTCTCCTTTCTTTGCCTTCAATTCAACCAAAGTTCATCGCATTTGCCACACGTCAGAACCATATGTGCTTCTTGACCTTCGGACTTTGTGTCCAGTCTTACATTCCAACATGGTCAAGGATGATCGATAGAAAAAGGCTCACACATCACAAACATGTTCTACCAGCCAAGAGGTCTTCATTTTCGCTGACACAAGCTTAACACAAACTGTAATACTCACCTTTTTCCCCCCCTTCATGAAATCTCGCCAGCTGGTAACCTACAAACACAGATGCAACAGATGGATATCTGATTAAACTCACAGGGTATGTCGAATGCAGATATTTTGGATAATATGTTACGATGCCTGAAGTATATCAGAACTGTACATGGAAGCAGTTCACTTGGTAACTTTACTGCTAAAGTTGACAAAACTCTATGTGATGTCAAAGCGAAGTACGGTCAGAAAATCTGATGAATCGCAAGAAGACATGTGTTACTGCTCACTCTATTTTCGCGAGTTTCTTCCCACTTCTCCTGATCCTCGCGCTTTCTCTTCCACATCTCTCTTGTTTCTTCCTCCTCTTTCTTGAGCCTCCCCTCTTCTTCGGAAATCTGGATGCCAAGAGTCTATGCAGTTAGATCTCTTTCACTAGAGCTGAATTTTTTCTTCCAAATCAGCGTTGCACATACTACACACCTGATAAAAACTCGACGCAAAGAAACAACCGAGACAACAAAGCGTTGAATGACAAGCTTTTCCAGCCTTATTTCCAAACACAATAACCAAGTCAAAGGTCCGTGAGAGCAGATTCGGATACCGGGTTTCATACCCTCATTTGGAATTTCCGTCTTCTCCATTCCTGCTCGGTTAAAATTTCGCGTACTCGTTGCTTCCACTTTTGTTTATACTCTTCCGATTCCTCATAAAGAGATTCGAATTTTCCCTGTCAGATCGGTTGAGGCAAGACAAACAATCATGACATGCCAATAGCGCAAGGCAACAACACTGTCTTCATTCATAAATGGTTCTATTATGTTCAAAATATCCTAAAAATACAACGTATTGATCTTGATATCGAGGCAACGAAGAAAAGCTCAACTCGTTTCGTGCAGGAAGTATAGATCGAGAGTAGTGTTTTTTTCCATACCTCATCCACCATGGACTTGATCTTTGATGCATTATCTTTCTTGAGCATCTTCTTCCTCTCTGCCCTCAATTCGTCTGCCACCCATAGATTTGCATTAACTCACAATTTATTACAGGGAATCAACACGTGACAATCAACACGGGAAAACGTAGAAGGGATTTCACATACCTTTTGCTAGATTTATCTGAGCGACGATGTAGTCTCTCTCCGCTGTATCCAGTAAAAGTTGTTGGGCTTTCGCCAAAGCTGTTTTCAATGTCAATAGGTACGGATGACAGAATTAGTGTTCATGTAATACATCATAGAGCACAAGAAGCTTCCAGCCTCATTCGATACTAGGTAAATCTTTAGTACGAAGGTAGTGAATCACCTGAAAAAGCCTCCTTCGCCTGCGGATGTTTGCACTTATCTGGATGAACCAACAGCGATAACTGCCACAAAAGATGAGATAAATTCAGTGTATTACGTATATTACAATTACCGTATTAGGTGCAAAAGCGAAATCTATGTCTGTCAAGAACATGATGTGTTTGAAGGGTCAAAAGGACGCTCTGAAACAACAAAGTCCATGATTGCTTCACAGAAGCATCAAGAAATTTGAGCAGAGCGGCGCATATAGTACCGGGGGATATATTTACTAACGATTTCATTTGGAGTTTACACGTCTGCACGAGTATCAGTTGGACCAATTCTGGATCTGCCCTCATTTGATCTCGTGACCTCACGGTATACGCTATCCTCACTCATGTATAAACACACGAAAAATCCCCATGGTACATAACAGGTTTACAAAAAATGGAAACTCGGATTGCAAATTCTGAATCAGGAAAATGCTCCACGACTAGGCAGGTGAAATTCATCTGACGAGAGACAAAGGTGCACAGGAGCTAGCCCTAAGTCCTCTTGAGGAATTTCTCCAGTGCTTGAAATTCCGTAAAGTGTCGTGGTAGGACTTTTGTGAGCAGAATTACTTCCTACTACCACACACAGGCTTGGACCTTCAAAGGAAGATATTCGAAAGTCTAATGACAAATATTTGAGGGTAAAATTCAGGTTCCGACAGAAGTACGAAAGCCCTAGCTTAGAAACGCTGCCTCACCTTACGATATTGTCTCCTAACATCCTCGGGTGTGGCAGTGAAAGGTAGATTCAAATGTTCAAATGGATTGAGCTTGAAGCAGGCCAGCACCCTGCATGCAACATAGAAGAGACGCATTCCTCAATTATTTCCCCTCATCCGCAATCCAGACTCAATAACCCGCTAGCGAGCCTGAAAATCAAACTCACAAGAGTATACTGCCTGAAAAAATTACGACTATCGAGCCGACGACCCAAACTGACCTGAGAACCTCATTGTCTCGTTCAACCTCGCTGACTTCAGCAAAAAATTCCTTCAATAACGCCTCATCCATCACTGCACTATTATCCCCCATCCCGTACTCCCTCCCTGCCTGCCTGCCTTTGTCCTCCCGCCCAAACTGGCTAAGATTCTTCGGCAACCACTATCTCTTCTCTGATCTTCTACCTCCTGCCTTCCCCTGGCAGCCCTAACGCCGCAGGACACTCATATGTACCACCTGCATTCCTGCAGAAATCTCTGATAAAACAAGCCCACCATTCCTTCGGACCTGCACGCGTGGTTATGAGACGTATGCGACATCAGACACCTCTATCAATCTATCGCAGCGTTTCTTTCGAGGTTTCATTTCCTTCACACTCGAGTGAATTTCCCACCTCACGTATCCTTCGATCGTTGATTGCCAGACCGGCAAAACATCGTTCCCTACCCTCTCGAAGAGTCCAGCCTTTCCAGAGAACGACCCTTGGGCCGAAACCCCGCGTGCTGCAGATTTTCGCAGAATCCGACCACTGTGTCGATTTGTTCAGTAACTGCAGAAGAAAGCTGTCGTACTTCGACCGACCAGACCACTGCTGCTGCTGCTGCTGCTTGTGAGAAGCGCAGCTTGCTGGTGGCGGAAGCAGCAGTTCCTGTCACTCCACAGCGTCCTCCTCTCTGCTTCCTCCGCTTCCTTCGCTCTGCTCTGCTCTTCTCACTTCTCCCCTCGTTCCTTCCACTCCATGTCCGCTACAACCAAACCCCATTTTTAAAGCGCAAGAAATGTGAGCAGTTCAATTTGAGCCTCATCTTACTGCAGTTTAACTTGCCGACCATCAATCAACTTCGTCGACGTACATGACTGTTTCGTATTTTCCACGACATTCCTTCCCTCAATCCCGCATGACTAATCACACCCTCCCCCACACCCTCTTCATGATCCTGCGTCCATGATTTGGGCAGGACCGAAGAAAGGGCACAAACTAGGACAGATCAAAATGCACCTTCCCCATCAAAGTCCATGTTCGGAGTTTGTCTGCATGGTGTCAAAAGTCAAAGAAATTGGTGCCAGTGTGAATTTATCGGCTTCGACGCTTGGAGGGGAGTGGATCGCTCGTCTAGTGCTTTGGAATGTTTCATGCCTGAATTATCGATCGTCTGTCGACTCAATAATATGCCCTCCGAAATTAAGTGCAAGGTTTGAGTGCAAGGTTTTGCCGGTCTCTAGTGTAGATTCTGATTCATATATCTTCGCATTCCCTCCTTGAGTTTCACATCTTACCGGAAGAATCGTAACCCTCACTATATTTCTTCATTTAAAACTCTGATATAATGCTTTCATTCTGTTCTAAGATATGGCATGCTTTTATTCTTCATACTAATTCATCAGGAGAATACGGGGTTCCGCAACAACCCGGGAAAAATCCTCAGGGGTCTACATTTTCCGTAATGGATGGTAGCAATCCCCATAATAATAGGTTGTTACAAAATGCTCTTAATTAATTCCATACAAGGGATAAGGAGATTCTCGATGCATTCATCGATCACACCTTCCCATCATATGCTCATTTACGACTCTATACTCTCATAAGGTTATACCGTAAGATATATTATATTCCTAAAATAAAAATTTGAAATATAGTTATACCGTAAGATAGTGAACGGACAATCCCCGGAAAAACCGCTCCGAGTCCCGAATTTTAATTTACGGGGCTGTTGTAAATTCCTTCAGTAGTTGCAGGGACGTAACTGACATGCCGACAGCAGAGCGTAGAAAGCACGTGGCTGGAGTGGAGGACTGCAAAGTATCAAGTGATATAGCAAACAGAAACGAGATCGCAACATACACAAGTACTGTTTATATTCCTCTATCAGATTCAATTAAAAGCGAGTTGGCTGTAGATGTTGTTGAGAGTGCTGAGAATGGACAAAAGGTGTAAACCATGAATATAGCGAGACCAAGAGATTAGATTAGGTTCGGAGAGTGTTTAGTATATTCACATACTATTGGGCTACACTTTGCTAACGCATGGATAGTTAAAAAACAATTAGGTTGGGTTTCCATTTTCTTTATGCTCATGAGAAAGTTGAGATATCATTTAAATTGTTATTCGAAGAGTTCTAATTAAATTTCTTAACATCAGATATATCGGTAGTGTATCATAATTTCAAATAATTTTTTCTTCATCCCATGGACAACCAAGTTGATATGGCCGAGTTGGTCTAAGGCGCCAGATTAAGGTTCTGGTCCGAAAGGGCGTGGGTTCGAATCCCACTGTCAACACCCTACAGCTTTTTTGTATTGATCCAAACATTTTTGCAGACCTGAGTAAAAAGTCATGTGTTCTTTTAGATTTGAATAACGTCAACACTTAGAATTTCCTCAGGGATTTTTTGTGTCATGAGATTGTGGTTTTGTCCATTGAAATGAAATACAAGATGAAGTTTCAAGTAACTTTAAGCTCTCCTTATTAAAGCTATAATTCCATCGCTTTAATCGGTATCATGCATGAAACATTATGTGGATGTCACAGTGTTCTCAACTTGCAATTGCTAGGCAATCTATCATATGGAATTCATCATAAAGATCTTAACATCATGACCAGAAAAATTCTTATGTTTTGCTTGAGTTATTATCTACAAATCTATTCTTAGCTTTGTAGGCCGATCATGAATAGTATATGACCATCTTTGAAACATATTAGTCCTATAAGGTTTTGTGAATTATAACAGAATTACATCATGAGACAAACATAAATCTCAAGTGATTACATCAGTAAAGTAGAAGCAGAGGAAAAATGTATTGTCTATTAGCCAAGTCTCCTGTTTCAGTACTTTTTTTCGCAATTGAAATTACATTATGAGCATTAGATTTATTATTTTGAATTAATTGTACGTAATTATGCATGTAATGTTGTGGTCTTCAAACATACTTCTCTATTTATGATTGAATATTTTTCCTTTTCTATCAATATCTTTTTCGCATTGCATTCTATATTACCTGATACAAAACATAGATGGTCTAAAAGAATCATTATTCTACATGAGTTATTATATAAACCTCTCTTTCATAATTTTTGGTTGTGATACAGAACATAGATGGTCTAAAATAATCATTATTCGACATGAGTTATTATATAAACCTCTCTTTCATAATTTTTGGTTGTGATACAGAACATAGATGGTCTAAAATAATCATTATTCGACATGAGTTATTTTATAAACCTCTCCTTTATAATTTTTGGTTGTGGTACGATTACTGATAGATTTAAAAACATTGTTATTGCCCATATTGTGAGACTCAGGATCAAGATATCAAATTTTTGACAACATTCCAATGATTTTAATCATTAACCTTTAAATCTAATTTACTTTAACATCAAGAACAACTTAAATATTTATTTGACTTTCAATAATATATATATATATATACATAATATTTATTGGTAAAAAATTTCAAGTGACATTTGATATATTTCTTTATATCAGTTTTCTATAATTCATCTAAATATTTTGCAGAGTTGCTCTCCACATGCATTGGCATCACATATGAACTTTTTTCAGAATTATACAATGATTATTCTTTATAATTTTGATTACATCACTTATACCTTTGAGAATATACAGAGCTTTAAAAAAAATTTGAATAACTAAATTCTATACGGAGATCAATTATATATGAAATAGACTTTAGAAGAAATATATTTGATATTTTTTCAATTTTCTCGATTGCGATTAGTGACTTTCCATACATATACAAGAAAATTGAATAATAAATTTTTCTTTATGAATATGATAAATTCTAATGAAAGATTTTCCATAGAATAATCGCATGATTTCATATTTTTTAAGTGATTGATAAATTGTACTTACTTTCTATCAGAGGTCCATATATTTCCTATTGTATTAATAGAATTTGTTGGTCTAAACACACTCAGAATTTATTATGCTCCGGCAATAGGGCAAGATTTATAAACTCGGGCATCATCAATGTTTTTTACATGTAACACTTAGCTCTTATATAACAATGAATTTTTCACCAACACGATCTATTGGTGTGCATATTGATTGTAGATATGTGAATGATTTCTTTCTTGAATGTTCTTGAATCCATTTTGCCTGTGAAGTATAATCATTTCAAGATGTTATATGTCAGTAAGAATGTGATGTATTCCGTGATGGATCATTCGAATAACAGTGAGAAGAAGAATTCTTGTTATGCATAACAAACAATTTCGGCACAAAATAATAATATTTATTTATTTATTTATTTATTTGAGATATAAGTGGAGTGGCAATCTTCAAAGTTTTGTAGCACAAAAAAATTTCTTCTTTGGTCTAGAGTTGGAATTATATGGACTCTCACTTTGACAAAGTACGAATTTATGCACAGCAAATCATTATGCTATGAAATGTGGAAAATCACTTCTTTATTATACTGTCTACCCACAATTCTTTATACAACATTTAGGGAAATAATCATGCGAGGTAATGTTTTTGGCAATTGAATATGAAAATTAAGATATTGTTACTAGTAATCTGATCCATACTTCTTTCCATCATTTTCACCACATTCTTAATGTAGATGTCATGATTAATGATGATAAGCATATCACTTTAAATGCGGCGTTTCGGACCCAGACGCCGCAATTAGCCTCATTTTAACTTGTGCGTGGCGCCACAATTAGTACTATTCGTGGCGGTGCTTGATTTGATTTCATTCTTTTTGCGTCCGTGCAATGGCTCCAAAACGTGCTATTCCATTCAGTTCAGAGCATGCTTTACCGTTTGGTGTGAAGATCGTTGAGCGTGATTCTGCGACGAAGACAGTGGTATCAGCGTCTTGTCTCTTTTGTGCTCATTTCGGGCGGGAGGAGAAAACCGGCTCGAAGCGCATCCGCACTGTCAATGTGATGTACTTCAAGAAGCCATTTCGTGCCGACATGTACCTTAGGCACATGAGTTCGCAGCATCTCTTGCGCTAGAAAGAGTACTCTGCCCTTAGCCAGAGCGAGAAGGCGTATTATTTCGATGCGAATGCTCCCGTTGTTCATCGCAACACCATCAATCACACTTTGGTGGTTCGCAAGTTCCTATCCAATTGTTTGTTGACAAGGGCATCGTCGATGTTATCATTGGCGATATGCTTTTTCAGGATGGCGATAGTAATGAGGAGATCACGAAAGAACGCGCTCTCAATATTTTTGAGGACGTTCTTGATCCTTCGGAAGGCAATTGCGATGGCTGTGATGATGCAGCTGATGTATCTACCGCGAGATATTGCATTCACTTGAAGAACCCTGCCCAGTTCTATCTCATTTCTAACTACCTCAGCGTAGAAGCGTCATTTAGAATGGCTTCACGAATCCTGGCAATGACCAAGGAGAGCACTGGCTTGACATCACTGGGATCTGTGTCTGAAGGAAAGGTGGCTGCCTTCGCTCGATACGTGTGTGCGCTCAAACTTCAATCGTTGAAGCACCTGCTGGCTCGTGTTTGGACATTTTTGGTGGGGATGGATATGTCCACCCTTATGGCCACTTCATATCTCGACATTCGCATTCGCTTGCATTGGAAAAGCATTCTCAACTTTCACTTGCTCGCAATTCTGATGTTTTCTCAACACACGGCTGAACAGATATTCCTACATGCTGCAAAGTCTTTGGATGTGCTCGCCCCTTCTTGGAAGAATCTGCTTCTTTCAATCTCTACTGATGGCGAGCGCAAGATGACAGTACGTGTTCAAGGCGTAGCAACTCGCTTTGAGCAGTCTGTTCTGCCAGGCTTTTACCGCATTTGTTGCGGTCTACACCAGCTGGACATCAAGCTGCAATGCTTTTTCGCGTCTTTAATGGATGAGCAGTTCTACTCCAGTCTCACTTCGTTGATCTTGTACTTACGTAGGCAGCAGAATCTTATTAATGATTTGAAGACCAAGGCACCTACCGTTTCAGACACTCGATGGGAGTCAAAGGGCAAAGTGGCTACCAAGTTCAAGACGAATCGTGTGGGTGTGTTAGCGTATCTCGGGCTGAAGAAGCCTTCTGTGGCACCGTCTCCGTCGTGGTGGATTGTTCTTATGTTTATAGTGAAGATCTCGGCTGAAGCGACGATTACTTTTCGTAGCCTCGAAGGACTTACGACGATAGTGTCGCAGCAGCGTGAAGGTCTGCAGCGTTTGCATGATGTTTACGTACGCTTGTTCAAGGCGTCTGGGCCACTATCTGTGGAAGACGCAAATGCTGTTGATCATGGAATTTCAGTCCTTTCCAAAGATTACCAGTATTCGCTGCAACTTTCCGATGTCACAGAAGTGCTGGAGGAACTTGGCCTATTCGTCGCGGGCAAGATTGAAGAAACTGGTGCGGAAGCGATGACGGAGCTTGTAAAAGGTCTTGCTATCTGCACACTGAAACTTATTGCGGGCGTGATTTCTATCGTCGCCGAGCGTGACTCTTCAAACGAAGCTGCCGCGGAAATGCCCCTTGTGCTTTCTCACCAGCTGGTCATGCTTCGAGGCCGAGAGTTCGGTGACATTTTGAAAGTTCAAACCCCTCGCTTGCGGACGACTTGCTCGATTACCGAAATTGATATCATTGAGCAGGAGTTCGCACAACTGCAGTCGGCCTATCATCGCGAGAGCTCTTTCAAAGCTGTGCTAGATGCGTGTGGTCCCCATACCTCCTTCAAGGAAGGTTGGAAGCTTATTCAAGATCGGTTTTGCTTTCTGCGAGAGTTTTGTGGCGGTCTCGCAACAGCTTTTCCCGGCACCTCATTTGTGGAAAGCGATTTCTCGATTGTGAAGTGGGAGAAGGATGTTGGCAGAGCCTCATTGACATACTTCTCTTTGGAAGGAATCCTCCATGCCAAGCAGTTCAAGCAAATGCGGTCTACTAACGTCCAATAAAATTCAGGGACGTCAGCTTTCAGCTTCTGAGAAATCGGAAAATGATTTCAGATCTCGATCGGTCAATTTGTATGATTTTGTGTGAAGGCCGCAATTAGCCGCATTTTTGTTTACTGGCGAGCCGCAATTAAGCTAATTGCTGCGTATGCCGCATATAAAGTGCCCTGATGATAAGTGATTAATATATAGTTGCCTTTTCTTCACGTAAGAATAAACAATTACTGCACTTTTCAAGCACAAGTGTTTTCTACTCGCGCATCCATAGATGGAAAAATTTTAAATTAAAAGACTCATGTGTCTGAATTAAATCTGAAGACATTTTCTGTCTGAACTTGTTGTTATTCTCATTGACTACTTTTATGAAATACAAGTGACACAGACTTAAGTATGAGAGCTTGATATTGTCATCGATCTTGACCACATACTACGAATAAACACTGCAGTGGGTTCATACAGACCGGTGGAAGTTGTCAAGCGCGTGTGAAAGCGAACGCGAAAGCAAAAGAAGGAATGGAAAAATCTCGCGCACGGAGAAGAACCGACGACCACGATGCACGCATTGTGGATAAAACCGTCCGTCAATGTCCGAACAATGCGCCGTGACGGGAAGCCCTTCCGTCCGTCGATGCTGGACAGAACGCCCGCCCTCCCTTATCTGCTCTCGGTCGCCCAGAGCCTCATCCACCGATCCGAGACAGCGGGCCGCGGGGGGCCATAGCCACCTGCACCAGCATTCCCCCTCGACCACGGCCCGCGTGCTCCTTCCCCTCCCGCACATGCTCCGCGAGGACTCGAATACGAGCGCGAGAGAGAGAGGAAGGCGAGAATTGTGATTCAGCGGAGAGGCAGGCTTGAGAGAGATTTGTCGAAATGGCGGCCGTCGCTGCCTCGTCGTGTGCTGCCTCGTTTGCGGCTCTGTCCATCAGCGGCAGCAGCTCGAGTGCCCGGCCTGTTGCGTGCAGCTCGTTTGTTTCGGTGGCGCCTCTGCGCTCTTGCGGATTTTTGAGCACCCCTCTTTCGGTTTCAGGTAAGGGAGGGAGTGGGGTTTAGTGCACTAGCATTGGGCGGTGTGTGAATGCTGCAGGAGGAGCGGGAATTTTGTTTCAATTGGTGCTGAGGGTGCTCTGTGTGGATGCAATTTCAGGGGGAGTTTCGAGATGCTCGGTCTCTCGTCGCGTCGTGGTCATTAGAGCCATGGCTGACCCCGTCAAGAAGAAAAAAGAGGACTCTGCCGTGAAGAGAGCTCGAATTGCCGAAGCCCGCCGTATTTACAACAAGTCGAGGAAAACTGAGATCAAGACTCGCATGAAAAAGGTGAAGTTCCGAATCCTTGCTTGAAATTTCGTTACACGCTTTAGGTCTTTGTGTCCTTTCAAATGCGGAGATTGTGTGATTTCATGGATTCCACTGTCTTCAACACCACGTTCACCTCAGGGCCAAGTTGGATTACTCTGTCTCAGCGATCCCGAGTAACAATGCCAAGTAAGAACCAGAAGAGTACGTGAGCTGGAATCGTTAAATGAATGGTCTCCAACCTGCCGTAGAGATTTGTGCTCCTTGCCTTCCGAACTTGCTCCCACACACCATCCTTCGGCATTGCCTTCTATGGGCACCGCCGTCGAATGCGCCTGCTCTTCTGGATGTGAAAGCTCGACCTATAGACGGACTAAATCTCAGAGACCATTGAATGTTGGTAAGAGAGGCCGGACTTTGGGCTATCTTCCTCCTTATCGGGAAGCTCCGTGTCTAAGAATGAGGGGTCCTCTGCAATGGCTCATAGAGGGCCCGGACATCACAATTAAGCTCTACTACCGGATGCCGAACTTTGGTTGATCGATGGAGAATGCGGGAACGTAACAGGATTTAGAGTTGATGCTGACAGTGCGTTGTCTGTTATTGTGAGGCAGGTGTTTTCTGCTCTCGATGAAATGAAGAAGAAAGGCGCATCGTCACCGGAGGAGATTAAGCCCGTCGAGGTTTTGATTGCCGAGGCCTACTCGATTATCGACAAAGCCGTGAAGGTCGGAACTCTACACAAAAACACCGGAGGAAATAGAAAATCTCGATTGGCCCGCGCTAAGAGGGCTTTAGAAATTCAGCTAGGCTGGTACACACCGACCCCTTCATCATAGATAGCTCAGGTACATAGATATGCTCATTCCTGATTTTTCCTCCAAAATATAAGGTTGTTACATGTGCAATCGATTTTTGTTCTCTTCATTGATTCGAATCTTTATGGTGTACGAGTGAGTCTGCAGACTGCCTGCCTGCTAAACCATAGAATATTTGAACTGAGTCATGACATACGTACGCAGCTGGCTGAATTTCCTCATCTTGGAATCAGTGCATTCAATTCACGGTGTGGAGAGATTTCTAAAGTATGAGAGTCTTGTCTTATCAACATGAACCTCGTCTACAAATGATTTGTATGTCATGATCACTTTCCAAAACGCGCCTCCACATCTTCAAGTACAGTACATACACACAAACTGTCGTAGACGAACAAAACCAGATCCACAGCACATCTCTGCCAAAGCGATTTCGTGTGGGCCCAGACTTCCGACTATGAGTGACCCATATTGTCAAAATGTTATTCACAGTATTTCTACATCGTGCCACATGATTTTGTCACAGTCTCCACTCATCTTCAGCAGCGAAATAGACTTGGAACTATGCTGTTCATCAGATAGTACGTCTTTCTCTCAAAGACGTATGTTCGGAGGCAGCGTATGAATATCATCTCACATTTTCTTGCCTGCAAACGATGTGCCAAGATGCCCATGATGCTCGAGTCTCAGTTTCGAGGCCATATGCCCTTGCATGCGTCCCCGAAATATAATGTCGCAGGGTAAGCTTGTACGTCCACTGTGCGCAGCATAGAGGTAAACGAATGTGACGCAAGTCATCTAAGTGATTTACCTCCACGGACGTACGATCATCACCTTTTATGACATCTTCACTAGTACTATATGTGTCATAATCTTTCACCGCCTTACTTTGTTTCAGATAACTTGCACCAAGGCGTCCCCTCCATCCTCTCCCCCGGGCTGTTGGCAAAATGATTACAGATTCACTTTTATCCCTTCTCCATGTCACTTCCGTTTTTTTGTACGTTTGTTCATGCGAATGAAAACCCTGATGTGTGAGTTCTTTGCCTCAAGCATCTTAACTCCCGCACAAGTCAAATGACTTCAGGGTTTTGGGTGTAGGGCCCTAAAGTTAGGCCAATTATTGATCAAAGGACGGGCATCGTTCCGGCATCAACGATACGCTATTCACGACGGGTGTATGCGAGTTTCAGTAATGTGCCATGTGTCATAAAGCGACATTCCTATAGCATTCACACATCAGGACAAACTGGTTATAAAAGAGAATCTATGACGATACAGAAGTTCATAGCTTTGAGATGTATCATAAGACATGCGTTTGCCACTGTTCATACCCAATGCAGTAACAAGCATTGTACTTGTCATAGTAAGAACTAAAAATCGGAAAATGTGGAACTTGTAAGCAACGTACTTGAGTAGTGTCCCGGGCTTGGGCAGACTTTCACAGACAGGAATGTCTTCATCTACAGGTAGAGCAGCGACCATTGATTTGTCAAGGTAAGCACGATACATCTCCATATGAGAAATTTCTGAACGCCAAGATAATTTTCTGTGAATTTTCTGTGATTATCCTCCAAAAAGTTATACGCTCAGCGCGAAAAAAAGTGTGAACAATTCAAGTCTCGTGAAACTTTCCGATGCTGCAATTCGAATCAAGCTTGATAATCCAGAAATGCACGCGATACACAACAAGATAAACGTGCATTGCCATTTCAACTGAGTGATGAAATATGCATGTGATCGAGCTGTGCGCACTCTGAGGCTGTCCCGACTGTAACCCCAACCGCTTACACACACACACACAGTTTTACATGGTTGAGTTCAAAATTGAAGGTTACAAAATTACAACAGAGAGCACCCTTCATCCTCACCAACATAAGTAAAACGTTGATGGGCTAATGGAACTTTCTCAGGCACCCACTGATAGAAACCTTAACCGAGAAACTAGTCGAAGTGGGCCAGCTGTGCTCTTCCTATGTAAGTATTTACCCTGCCTGCTCAGGGCTCCAGTAGTACACCTAACCATCAAAAGTAAAGTTTTTTGTTTTGTACAAAACCAGACTTCACCATTGGTCATCCACTTCCTTGCTTGACTCGTTCAGTCTGATCACCATGGCCGACCCTGATGTGTGTCTGCTGCAGCTGCAGAAAATCCTTTGTTGAAGAATATATCTCCAAATATAGAACACGTACCCCCATCTCGAATAGCTTTGCTCAAAATGTCCCATATCAACACTGATTCTCTACCTACATTTTGCGGCTCTACAATGTGTCCCCGAGTGAGAAACTCTAAGTCTCCATCCGTGGCAAACCCTAAACACAGGTGTACTCACCCAAGAAGCTTCCTGCACACTACCTGTGATTTTGGGAACTCTACCGTACCAGTATACCAATGTATGTACAAATTCATAAGACAGATTTCAGCCAAGCTTCTTCGGTGACCAAGATGGTTCCAATACCCTCTGGAACAAATTATGAGACGGTGTGTTGCATCTGGGGACAAACCGTTTTCAACATCCTGAATATTTGTTTCAGAGAGGGACTGAGGACTTGTGGAAGCCCCTCGCTTGAGAGTAAGACAACCATCTGAAGACATGTTCTAAATCCCTCCTTTTAGATCTAAGAACCGGGACTCGTTCTGACCCACTTCTCAAAGGAATCTCAGAAAATTCCACCCCTCGCTACATGCAGTGCAAATCAAAATCCATATTGCTGGGGGCATATTCTTGCCATGCTCCTGCACACAGTAACTTATGAATGAGAAAAGCTTTGTATATTCAGCAGAGCGACTAAAATACACGATGAGTAGACAGTGCTTTGCTCGAGTGAAGAGCAACTTCCAAGGTTGGAGGAAAGCAACACCACGACTCTCGCCAGGAGCGTCGTTACTCAAATCACGTCTCAATATTTGGACAACGAGCCACTTGCTCGACGTTGCCATTAGTTTCCAATCCACAGTCAGAGCAATCGTCTCGCAAATGAATGTGATATAATCTCGACATAAAATCTACGCGGGGTTCATTCACATGAGAATTCCAACATCTTGTCGCTTAAACCTCTAAGAACTTCAACCATGGCATGAATTGTTTTTTACAGTTACATTTTTACAAAGTCGTACGCACCCTTCATCAAAGCCACCCGGGTCCAGATGCATAATGGGAAGCATTTGGAGACGGCTGCCCTCCCAGTTTCTGCAGCGACCGATACTGCAATCGTACACTTTCTCCGTTGTCCAGAGTCCTCACCAGGTACCTAAGTTGACACGCCAAATTCAGGCTTCTGCTAGTGAGACTTTGGAATACGAAAAAAGTAAGGCTTGAAATAAGGAAAACAAAATCATCATATGTGGCTTGTGAAATTACGCATAGGAACTGATTGTTTATCAAAAAGCTGTAATGCACATCGAGTCTAGTAAATGTAGGACATTCAAAACAAACCCATAAAAGCCAACACTACGGTTAAGTTTTTTTTCAAACTTAATCTGTTTACTTTTCAGACCCAATACTTGCTCAACTCAGGTAACCAATCCACACCTCCGGCCTCAAACAAACTGAAGCTCTCCATACTAATCGTTCATGGACGCTGGGTGCTCGACAAAGTGATTCAGACGACAACTGCCTTTTTGAACATCTGTAAGGAGATCTCAAGCATCTCATGTGTAGTTTACCAAAACAGAACAAGCACAATATATTGAAAATACAGAAATCATAGTTCTTACCATCCGTTCAAGCATTGATTTGTTATAACAGCCTCTCGGCCAACAAACCGCTCCGGTGTACGTTTGTTTCCCTGAAACGAATATCGAGTGGTACATGCATTAGTTCTCATATATAAGTTCCGCCATAAGACACAGACATCGAGAAAACTAGAACTCTATTACCATGAAGAGCGGATGCACACTTGAAGCATGCTTTAATCTACCTGAATAGTTTTCATATTGTACTAAAAAGCATAAATACTTTGTGTTATACAGTACGCTGTGTACCATATCCTCTACCCAAGAGTAACATTTGTATTGATTACTATTATTTGAACCACCTCAATGTATGGATGAATCAAACCTTTAGATCAACACAAATTAATCACTGTGTTGTCCTCAGTGATCCCCCGCCCACCGCCTCATGAATGTCAGACGAACACGAAACAGAAACGGGAAAGAGCTGTCTTGAATTGTTGTATGTACTCAAGAAAACATATTGCACCCCTGATATTATTAGATGAGTTTCAAATGAATCTGAAACTCATGTCAAAATGTCTTACTTGCCTCCATAACATGTCCCACTTTTCATGAAAGAAGGCGAAAGTAGACTTCGCCCTCTGGGTCTTAGGAAAAATGTTCTTGGACATTGAGTTCCATAACGACCTTCGACCTACCTAGCTTCTTTCAACTTCCTTACAATACAACCACTGTTCAAAATACGTAAGGAGAAACACTTGATTTGGTTATCCAAGTTGTGGTCACCTGGCTTGGGAAAACCAACCCAATGAGCCACGGTTGGAAAAGGGAGCGCACGTCACCGCCAATCATAGCAGGGAGCATGTCCTCGTTGTTAATATAGGCAAAATAGAGAATGCACCTAGAAAAGTTAAACACACTTTTATTGGGTGATTTGTTTTTTATGGACTGGTTCCAATTGCTTCGATGTTGAGGCTGCTTTGCCCCACTCACAATGACGCGAGCGGGAAAACTTATGAAGTCCATCCATCAAGTTCCGACGCGGCCCTGACAAACTGCATATTGGAATCTAGCACCTTCTTGGTCCTAACCCACCGAGTTGCTACGAACATATGCATGCATATTCCAAGAATTTCAAACGTTGAAAGTTGAGTGAATGTCGTAGCTCACGTTGTAGACTTTCATAACATGGAAATTTGAGGCTAGATGGAAATTCACTCACAAGAGACCCAGTGCGGGTCAGCACGAAGAAACGACCGAATGTACTTACTTTGATTAGTACCCTGTCACTCACTGAGAACGGAAACTGCACACCCTTAGATCTGCTTGTGTCTGACGAAGGCTGCTGCTCAACAGGGGTGCCTTGATCCTACATCATCATATGTAGTGATTAGATCGTACACGATCAACCTCGGCGGCTTCGCATGCAAGAGACCGAAGAAACTCCAAGTTTGTTTCTCAACGGTGCCAACGAGATGGAGACAAAAACAGAACTAAGTGAGCAGCATGGAGGAACCAGTCAGTCAAGAATATCTTCCAGTCACCATTAACGGTATTTAGACAAAAAGCGTCTATTTCACGTCATGAGGACTCGGCTGCTTCGTCAGTGGATACCAAGGTGTATAGGACCAAAGGGAGGCTGAGGATAACTCGAAGCCCAACAAGTCGAGATGAAAACCATATCTGCTACGCAGACCTATGTATATTGCCTAGCACTATGAGGAAGCGAACTGCCAAACCAAAAGCAAAGGCCCAGACAACACAGAGCGTGTCATCTTATATACTGGAGAGCAGATTATATCCATGCATGTGCTTTTGTCAGTACCTATCAAGCGACCAAACACTTCCCGATACATCCGGCGAAGCTAGACCCAGAACCGTGATTTTTCACAGCTAGAGATGCGTCTGTAGTACCAACATAGAACAACACTAAACAACCACTACGCTCCATTGAGCAAATTTTGATCCCAATTATCTTTACTTCCATAGGTTAATCCAAACTCCTTAAATGCTCACAAGAGCCACCAAATCTTGACGGCTTCATCCAGCAGATTTCACCTGATTTCTACCATTAGCCCAGCCATGTTACCTGTTCAGGACGATCCCTTCTCCGTTTCGTCGACTTGGTTGCAGAGTTTTCCTCTTCCCGCTTATAGGCCTGCACGGCAGCTCGTAAAGCTGGATAACATGTGAAACATTCGTATATTAAAGACAGTGCAGTCACACCAAAGACCATATTTCCACTTTTTATAAAACCTTGAAACGATGGAAGAAAAGTGTACTAAGTACTCAAACTCTCCTGAGAACCAACTACGTGCAGTTAATGTTATAAAAGTCTCACCATAATTTGGCGAAGCTGCTCTCACAGACGCTCCACAAGTTATACAGACATTCTGTACAACGTTAACAGACAAGCTTATGTCAAGCTCGATGATGTGGCTCAACTCAAACTGTCGTCCACTCAAAGTTATTTGTATAGTTGAATGTAACAGAGTAATAGAATCGCAAACGTACTGTTTCCATAACGCGTGCTAGACCTGCATTGCCGAAGGAGTGTCCGCAACCGAAGATTGACGCATCATCCATCAACTGGCCCCTAGAGAGAGAGAAAAATGACCAATCAGAAGCTGCGCAGCCAGTAAACGATGTAAAGACTTGGAGCTTAAACCACATTCAATATCAGACCCTTCTACGAAAGCTACATCATAACCTGTTCATGCATAAAAACTCTTGAATCTCTAATTACCCTGTACATTTAGCACTGCGATGACTATGATAATGTGGTAATATATTCCTTTCAAGACGTTCCTAGATCAGGAAGTGAAAACAGAAATTCCCGTCTTGCGGTCGCGGTGCATCACTTGCGCGTCATGCACGTTCGCATATCAAGTCCGAACGTGCACATCGAGTGAGATATCATGAGATATCACTTGATATCTCAACTCCTAAAATGGTTAGATACTTTCGGCTGATACTAGAAAAATTTCGATAGCTACGCGTTCAGCAACAAATAACTCGTATTGACCGGAAACAGTATAGTGTGCAGTAACTGTTTGATCGCAGTTGGATTTGGCGCATGCTGCTGCATGCAACTAGGCGTCAAGCTACGCCCTGTATTCACAAATGGCGAAACTTCTTGCGTGGTAACTTTGCATGCTATCTTCAACTTTCGGAATGTAATTCTCCTACTTGTGGGAAGCTCTTCACTCTTCCAATCTCCGCCAGATTATGACAAACGCTTGAAACGTTACAAGTCTTTACTGACATGGCACGCTATAGTTTTTCCTGATACCAACGTTTGATAACCAGGACCGTTTCAAGTGAGCCCTTAACTCTGACTTCAGATTTTTTTAGAGTACTCGCAGATGCATTGATGACTTCAATTCTGTAGGTTCCATCTGCAGCTGACTTTCAAGGCAGAATGGAGATCCTAATTGATTATAATGCTTTGGCAAAAGGCACCCCAGGACTATCAGGTGACGTGCGTAAGCACTTCGAATCTTCAGATCCCATGGAATGATTTCCGTGTACGACGCCAGCACTAAAAATCTTTGAAAGAACCAACCGAGGTTCTTCAAGGTATCTTTAGTGACTAAAACCCCTCCAGCACTAAACTCTACAAGTACCAAGAGTATGATACTCACAGAAGAGTTACACGTTTTTCAAGCTACTCGTTATTAGAATATGGAATGGCCCAAGGGAGCCTATCACGCACCAACTTAAGTGGGTGCAAGACGAAGTGCCAAGTCCATCCGTATGCTTACGCTAGAATCATACAGACGCCATCACCGTCTTACATTTGGAGCTAAAGCATCTCTAAACGCATGTCCTTTGGAAAGACCAGTGTTACATCATGAACCGTATCGACTAGATGCCCCAGCACAAATAGCTATACGTGTAAAATTCAGTGTAGCCCATATCTCGATGATATGGACTGTCTTGATTAGAATGTCGCTGGAATAGCCTCAAGCCCATAGACCCCTGACGATGCTGATAGAGCACCTTTTGAAAAAACGGGATAGATGTGTAAAGGAAACCACGGAGTAGTTGAGAGTAAGAGGGTCTCTAACGTAGTGGGAGGAGAAAAATATCTCTTTATGTCTATACAAGGGTAAATTGAGATGTATTACGAATCATGAACTACGAGTACCATACTCAAGAACAGAAACTTCAAGATCTGAATATCCCTCCTGTGACTCTTTCTATAATCGACTAGAATGATTGTAACTCTCTGTCTGTCTCAGTCTACTTCACGTTTCTGCATACCCAAGCTCGAAACTCAATGTAAGTTAAACAGCTGCCAAAGGTTTCCAGCCAATTTCTTGAAGGCATGGACGTTTCCGCGCGTCCAAGCTCACGACTCAAATGAAGTAGGACGGCAGCCAAAAATCCCGGCAAAAAAAATGCAGGAATTCAAGAGGTCTGCTGATACCCTCCTTAGCTTTTCGTCCACATCTAAGACTATATTTGTCAGTTATGCTTCAAGAACGACGTTGAAAATTGAAAAATCCCCTGTGCAGATCTTCTCTTGATTCAAAAAGGTAGGTGTACTAAACTACATATAATACCTCTCTTCCAAAAATTGTAGCGCATGCTACACGTGAAAGTGCTACATTACAATCCAATTAGTTTGTGCCTCCCACTTGTATTCCTCCTTATGCATAGACTTTTGATGTGTATATGAATTCATTTACTGTATAGATTACACAATCCTTCACAAGTAGATTCCGATTTCTAATTCAACATCGTTTGAGATCACCTTTTCAGTTCCCCGAGGCGCTTAAGCAAGGGTGGGCGTTCATGTTAATAGTGTTGGGAATTTGCGATGATTTCGTCAGGACTACATATGGCTTTTTGAGTTCAGTCGCAGATGCGTCACTTAAGAAGTGAGCAACATCGACATTTATCAATGCAAGCTATGATGAACAATACAGGTCTAGACATTAAACATCAACTTCTTAAGGCACACACAACTCTAAGCAGAGATGGTCAGCATCAGACTTTAAAATCGCGGACGGTCTGTCGGAAAATATTCATTCTGGCGGGGTTTATAGTAAGAAAAATACGTGAAAGGGTCGGAAAGAATGCGCCTCAGAGAAGGCTCGGCCGAAGAAGGTGACTCCATCATTCGTGCATTCCGCTTTTGACCACCTCCGACATCGTTTCCAATATCCTGTCCTTTCGGAGCGCTGCTATTGTTGGAGCCCGTTGAATTAAGAAGAGAAGTGTAGTAATTGTCTTCTGAAGACTGAAGACTTTCGTGAAGGTGTCCCTGACTTTGTTGTTCGTGCATAGAGCTGCCCATCGCGCACTCCCTGGCGGCGAGGCTCTTGGCATAAGAGTCTCGAGAAATACCTCCCTCCCTCATGCCGTATCCACCAGACATAGCTGATCCCACTCCTCCTCCTCCAACTCCACCGTTCTGTGCTGAATTGGCTTCTACGTGAGTTGCCAAATGAGCTCCAGAAGGAGAAGCTTGTTGAAAGTTGATGAAAGGTAGACCGGGAGATTGTAGGTACATGTTAAAAGGAGGAGAACTTGAGGTGGGAGCTTTCATTACTCTATCTCGGTCTGAACCAGTTCGTTGAAAGCCTTCCACACCTCTTGATGCCATCATGGATTCCTGCCTCATGCGACCCTCGAGGGAAGCCATTTGCGGATGAGAAATAGTTCTATCTCCAAGCACACTTTCTCTACTCCTATCCCCAACCGTACCTTCTTCGCCTTCTCCTTCCAAGTCACCGTCGTCCTCGTCTTCCTCTTCGGTACCTTCGCTCTGCGAAACCTCACTACCCTCTCCTCGGAGCCCTATGTCTCTGAAATCTCCTTCACCACCAACACCGTCTCTATCGCCTCCACCCCACTGATCCTGGTCTCTTCCGACGCCCATTACGCCAAGCTGATTACTTCCAAATACGTTCTTTCGTTCGTCGTTCTCCCCGCCACTCTCCTTCTGTACCCTATGTTCCAAATGAAACCCTTCGCCTCCTTCCCTGTAATCCCTCTCAGCATTCTGGAGAAAACCTGGCCTATCTCTTCCTAAGTATTTTCCTGCATCTGCGTAGTCACCAAATCCTTCTCCGGGACGCTGCTTCTTCGCTGGCTCGGACCTCTTGGGACCTGGCATATTCCTCGAGTACTGATCTGATTGCACGGACCGACCTGAAAGCGAAGACAGTCCTATGTCTACTATTTGAGACGGTCCTCCGCCTACCATGTCCAGCTCCTCAGATCCCATTTGGCCTCAAACCAAAAAAGTTGAGTTGGTTCACCCGTGGTTCAGCACTTACTTACAGGGGAGATCTCCCAGTTTCAAATCCTCGAAAAGAGTCTAGTAAATGTGACCTCTTCTGTCAGCAATTCCTACTAAGGTCCACGTACTTATCGCCAATTCGTAGATCATTTTCTGAAAAGCACACGTCGTAAATCACCAATGTTCGAAGCCGCAAGGAAAAAGGGGATAAAGTCTCGCTACGAATGGCTGCTCCCTGTTGCATGCCATTGTACCGTCATCACAGACCGAACACTAAATTTCAAAATCTCTGACAAATTCTGTACAAATTAATCTGTGCAACAAGTGCATGAAGTGCGTGCGATGTCGCCCCTAGGATCTTACCTGAACCTCGGTAAGACATCAAAAAACGTGAAGACGAAAACCCCAAACTTCTAAAGTGAAGAAGAAGAATAGGAAACCCTCTCAGGTGGCCATGATTCTTCCTCCCATCCTTCCTTACTTTCCACTGCCAATACTCCTGTTTATTTCCAAGTACTAATCTCTCTTACGCGACGCTGCGTTCCACCTCCAACACCAACAAGTCCACGCATATCCAACCTATCCCGCCTCTCTCCTCGCCGCACGAAACACTCCACATCTGCCCGGCTGTTTCTCCTACGCACTATCTTTCTCCAAAGAAGGCCTGTATCAACTTCCCCCCGCGCGCTCGCACTCCTGTAGAGGACCTTCACTCTTCCGCCAAACAATCGCACACCACAATTGAACAAACTACTTCCCAACTTGCTACCTCCACGCAGAGAATAAAAATAAAAAAAAAAAAAGAACAGGACACTACACTATAACGACAGTCCAAAGACTTGCAAGTCCGATGCCGAGACAATTGAACGCCTTCCACGCAAGCGCAGGCAGAGACAATCCTTCCCAGTCCTCTACAGTCCACTCCAGCCTCCGCCGCAGCCTGCTTCGCTTCGTCGGAGAGAGGGAATAAAACAGACAATCCTTTCGGGCCAACAAAAGCAGCAACCCGCTTGGCGTTGCGTTGCGTTGCGTCGCCCCGCCCCCACCTCACCCCGCGTCGCCCTGCCCTGCCTTGCCTTGCCTTGCGATGCCTCGTCTCGCCTCCGCCTCGCCTCGCCTTGCCTCGCTCCGAGTTACAAAAGGCGCGCCTGAAAAACCAACCTCCTCCTGCTCGCCTCCGCGCTCCCTGCTGGTCAATTATCCCTCATGGATCGAACAGTGCTCGCTCGCGTCTCGTCCTCCGCAGCGATCACATACCCCAACCCCTCCCGCATCGCTCCGACTACCACCACCTCCACCATCGCTACCGGCATCATCAATCCTATCCCCTGAGTAAGACAACAGCGACCGCGACCTTCACCTCATTCCTTGCCTTCCCTTTCCTTCCCTTGCTTTTCCTTCTATCCCTCACCTTCCCTTCCCTTCCCTTCGCTGCCCTCCCCTCCCCTCGTCGCCTCCCCTGCCCACGCCACCACCATCAAGCGCAATCATCAAGCCGCTTTTAATGTGCCCCCCGGCCCCTTCCGCCTCCTGCTCTGCCCTGTTCCTCTCTACAGGCCGCAAGCGAGCGAGCGAGAAAAGAAGGTCTGTCTGCCTGCCACTGCCTCTCCGACGACGTTATAAATGAATTCCCACCCTCCCTCCCTCCTTCCCTCCCTCGCCAGCCCAGCCCCAGCCCCGCCCCGCGAGCAAGGACAGAACGAGAATGTTCAAAGATCTCGTCCTTTCTTTCTCTCTCTCTCGCGCGCGCGCGGGGAGGAAAAAGCTGCAGCAGCAGCAACAGCGGCGGATGGAGTGAGAGTCCGGGGACCGAGACCCATTCGACGAAATTAAAACGCCAACAAAAAACGCCTGCGCCCGCGGGCATTTCCTTCCCCACCCCCCCGGCCCCCGCTTATCGTTATTTCCTTCGAGCCGTAAAGTCCACCTTCGAGCGATCCATCGGCGTAATTATTATTTCGGACCACTTGGCGGACGCGAATTGGGGGCCCAGTTTTTGTAATCGTTTCGCGTTTGAACGCCAGGGGCCGAGGTGGACTGTCCGCATAAGTAAAATTATCCGCGCCTCGGAAAGGTGGCTGTCCACGTGTGCAGACCCGGAAAGACAGTAACGTATATGAACACGGAGATAACGGATATGCATGGCATGATGGGGTGGAGGGAGGGAGGGGACGGAATGGGGCATAGAAAGGTGTGCCGCCAAGTACATGGCATGCGCATGGCAGCTCTCCACATGCAGAGCAGTGCTCGCCACATGTGGGTCATCTCTGAGCTGGCCATCATCATGGTCATGGACCCATTAAATGTCGCAGAGACCGGCGACGATCGAACCGTTTGTCCGATCGGAGAGAAATCTCGGGCTCGCGTCCCTGCGGAGGGCAGGACCCGACACCAAATATATATTCTCGCTTCTTCGGGGAAATGGGATCGCCGCTGAGCTGATGCCCATTGGCGCGATGCGCTTCTCTGAACGAAGCAGGCGCTATCGTAGGGCCCTAGTGGTGGGATGCTCGTGTCTGCAAGCACAGCACAGCCAGGCCAGGCCGTCGCCGGGCTCCACTTCCGTGTGTGTGTTCGCGTCGGGCACTCCAAGCGATGACTGGGCGAGTGTTCGTTTGTGCTGTTCCGCACGCGTTGCCCGCTTCCTTTCTGTCAAATTGCTGGGCTCTTCGTCTGACCACCACCCCCCTCTGTGCGAGAAACTCCCCTCCAGCAAGCCCATCTGGACTGCATACTCGTTTCCAGGAATCCGGTTTGAATATTTCTCACGCAGACGCTGGTTCTTGCACTATAAAAGGACCATGTCCAAACTCATCCCAGGCCCCCACACAGATTCACAAGTTTGATCTATCTCGTGTAGTTACTATCAATACTCCTCTGTCCTTCATACACGAAATCTCATTGTTTTTTTCATTATGTTTTGTAGCCTCGTACTTTTATCCCACTTTCTAAAAAGTTCACAACCACATTCCAGATAGCCATATCTTTTCTCCTCTGCAGTAATCTACTCAAATCAAGCTATATATAACTTTTTGTCTAGCTCTAATAAGACTATTTTCATTTTCAAAATCCAGTGTAATAGCTGTACTTAATACATAAGCAAATCTGTTTTCACAATACACAATCTTAGGGTTTTCTTTTTTCAATGTATTTCTTATTTATGAATGTGCGTGTGAAGCCAACATACTTTTTTCCAGGTAGAAAATTTATTCGATGTAGTATAGAATATTCATAAAAAAATTATTTGTTAACAACATGCATGAAAAGTCGGATTACTAAGGAATAAGCTGTTTTTTGCAACAAAATGTACATGTATACAATTCAATTTCATAAATTTAATCTACCTACTATTTCACGTTTAAAAACAATTTAAGTTCTAGGACTCGCTTTCGCATCCGATTCAGTATATATGAGCTTTTAAAATAACTGTAGTTTGCACTGAGACAGAAAGAATTTCAAGTTTAATGTCGACCGTCTTCAGAAAAATAAGATAAAATTTTGTTAGATTTATGTCATAGACTTCAAAAACGTGGAAAGTTGCAGAAATATATGTAAGTTTTAATATTTTGGAGGTATGTAGTTGATCCAATTTAAATATGAGATACCAAATATTTATTATCCATATTTATATCAAATAAGTGGAATATATATATATATATATATATATATATATTCATTATATGGATATAACACTCGCTTTATCATGTGATTGATGCACCATCTGTAGATTTTACAATATATTCTTGATCAGTTTGAACATCAAATTTTAAGAAATAAAAATTCACAGTGGAGAGGAAGAGAGATAATATTTGAAGGGCTCAATTTACATCTACATAGTATTTTTTATGTAATGTTTACCTCTATGCTTTCTGGGGAAATTTTGATGGTTGAGCAATACGTATCAAGTAAGCCGAAATACTTGAATCTTCGTATTCATAAACTAAACGGTTCGCATGAATAATCGTTCTTAAAATTACATGAAGTAATTTTTAAAATGTATAGTATTTCACATTAGTAAATTTATTTTTTAATTGTATAAAAGTTTTAGGAAGAAGGCAATTTCTTTACCCTAAAATTTGCACAGGCCTAAAGTTATCTGATAGAAGAAAGAGAGATGCACAAAGAAGAACCGTGAAGAAACATTGGGATGATATAGAGCTACTCTGAATTTCTAAAAAATGAAGATCATAAAAAAAGCTGAACAAACAAACCCGCAAGACGTATGCTTCTTGAGACACTGTTTGAACGTACAATTGAACACGGATTGAATACTCATATCCAGACGAGGTACCTGTTCCATCTATCACAGTGAACCTGAAAGGAACTTCAGAAGTCCAGGCCATTCGGCCTCTGCAGAGAACCATATAATCGACAGAATAATTACGGCTTGTTCATTACTCTGTCCCTTGCAGTGAAAACAGGTAGACATAACACGAGAAATATCTACCACAGTTGATCAATAGTCAATAATTCATTAGGCAGCAAGTAGTGCACAAACGATGGACATCAAGGGCGCGAGCATCAATCCCACCAGCTAAATCCAAACCAGAACCGCCCTGAGGCAGCTAACCATGAATGAGAGTTATAACCGTTGGGGGAGGGGGGTGCTCATGTCCAAGCGCTGGAGCTCAAAAGCTGAAGATATTAAGAAATGGTAGCCGCGTCAAATGAAGTACGCGAGGTTTGGATACCGGTAAAAGCACCCGTCCCGCCACATGCGCCTGTTCACCGTCTGTAAAAGTCCCCCCAGCGTACGACAAAAGCTGGAGAAGACCCTCAGATCGTTCAAACCTGAATTATTGTTCCATTTACTGTGATCAGTCCTGATTCACCAGTACCAGCACGGTACACCCCAGGCACACCTGGTCGACCGCGTTCGTGGCCCGGGGCCCCATCAGCATGCATCGCACCGAGCCACGCCCCGAGCCTCCTCTCGCCCCGGTTCGGCTCCGCTCCTGGATCCCATAGGTCCGAGTTTGAATATAGTTCCTGCTCTGCTCACTACGACGGGGTCGGCGGCCGCACCGACAAGCGAGACCATTCCGTGATGGGCATCATCATGCATGACCGGGACATACCACGGAGTCCCATGTGGCCCATGGCATGGGCGCCTAGGTTTAGGGTTCATGCATCTACAACTACTCTAGCCTACTACAGCCCGGAAAGTGCAGCTTACGTGGAGAAAACCCTCCACGTCAGAGAATTGCCACTTGTCACTATTCGAAGTAGGTCTTGTGTACAACGGCCCTCTTCTCGATTTGCCCAAGTCATTCATCGAGGCATAGCCCCATCCCCTCGGTCATGATGATGATGACGACGGCGACTTTTGGCATACGAAGACTTATTGTCACCGCTCGATGCACCTTCCAGTTACAATTATTGTTTACTTTTTTATGCTGTCTGATCACGTAAATTCCTGGTATCTCTTCCCACTTTGTTCCACCTTTCTATGTGGCGGAATGTGCACAAGGATCCACTATTACCGTTAAATATGCACAGCAGGATCTTCAGAGGAATGATTATGTTAAACTACTTTCCCTCTAGCCCAAGTAGCATAGGGGTAAGTAGAAAAGACATGTTTTGTGCTACTCACGTCTTTACTGGAGATTCACATACCATGAGGAAGGTTAGGTGTCTACGGGGATGTCCTTTAGAGATTGGAAGGAGACTCCATGTATGTGATCACTGTTGGGAATGAGAGAAGTCAATGACTCATGAGGATTTTGGTGATTCTTGTTTATATCTGCGATGCGCTTAATGAAAATTATTCTTCGGTTTTCCAACACAGTTTCCTCGCAAATGCGGGTCAAGGACCGGATCCAATTTTATCTTGTGGAGAACCTAATTTTCCATTCACATCTACCTGCTTTCAAAGGTCTCTTGTGTGTGCAGAAGTTACTTGTAGTGTGATATCAGATATAAATGTGGACTCCTGAATACAATATGCCCAAAAAGACAAATATCTAAATATAGCTTTCTGCTTTCATTCTAATTCTCTCTCTCTCTCGGGACATGTGATGACAGGAGATTTGCGCTGCTTTTCCTTCTGTGCGGATAAAATCATTCATTTCCATCATGTGATGCATGCATGCATGATGATCAACTTTTGATTCTCCACAGGCTTTAGTTTCTCTTGCCTGTCACACCAAACCGCCTATATAGTGCGTGAGTTATAGCGTTATGTATTTACGTTCCATCTTTTCAAAGAAGTGATTTTTTTGCTTCATTCGCACATCGTGTATCTGCCGCTGGAGACAATAAGTTTGCATTGAGTTCCAAATTGGACATAATAAATTGGACAACTTTTTGTCTCCGGCGAAATATACTGCATATTGGTCAACTTTGTATTCTTGATATAAAAGCTTGTGCATTGATAAATCCAGATGATGTTACGGTTCTGAATCTCATAGATTTATTGATAGTATTTACATTCACTTTCAACTCTATAATTATCATGTATCCACTTCTTAATTGACATAATCGCAGTAGAATCATATACTTCATAAGCAATCTCCGCAAATCTGACCTTGAAAAAATACTGCCACTTACTTATAATTGATCATATTACTGTATCCGTGCACAAACAAACTATTTGTGCATGAAATGTAATAATCATTCAGTATATGTGTTTCTAAACCCACACAAAAAAATTGAAGCAGAAATCTCATTCAACTCTTTCATATAATTTGAAATTCCACTCATTTATTTAGACTAACAATAGATTTTCTTATCAAAAAGTTTTGAATTGTGTCATACATGCACATCCTCACAAGTCAACATCTTTCAACACAAGAAAATGTAATTTCATGTTGTAAAAGAACTTCACCTTATTTTTCTGTATACTAAATATATAAATTTGGATAAAAA